AAAATGCTAACACCACCACCACCTCCATCAAGAGCATCATTGCTAGTAAAATTAGTATTTTTAATTTGGATGATATTACCAGCAGCTATGTCTGACTCTATAGAAATGAACAATCCTCCACCATAAAGAGCTGTGTTTTCCTTAAAGTGACACTTATTAATAATGAGTGTACCCCCAACACCATTACTAATCAAAACATACAAACCACCTCCTCTGCCATGGTGGAGATCAGACGTGGGATTGTTCATTTCTGTGATATCATTTTCATCAAAGTCAGCCGTGTTATTGGTAAAATTAGAATTCTCAATTGTCCATTCATAATACACACAGTTTGCTGCCCGTTCCTTTGGACACACTGTAAGTTCAATACCCACTCCTCCTCCCATTTTGCCTCGATATGGTATATTATTAATGAAATTTGAATTATTAATCAAATTCTTACCAAGAGTCAATGACCTGGATGCAATTGCTGACCCAGTACTGTTCATTACGGTAATGTTATCGATGGTGATGTAGTTACAGTTCATAAAGTACATTGATATGTTTAACGTGATGTTTCGTGACTCTCGAATCAATGTATGCTCAACTGAACAACCAGTGAAAGTCACATTTGCTATTTTAATTTCACTTGAGTTAATGAAGGTCAGGCCCGATTGATATTGGCAATCAACAACTGGAGGCGTTTCATCTCCCAACATGCTTGAAATCGTTATATTTGTTACCTCTTGACACAGGCCATTGGATGCTAGCTCATGCACACCACCAGATTGAAGTCGGAATGCAATACTACCAGGTGACTGACAGTCTTCTAATGCTTGTGTGAGATTAGAGTACTTTCTGTCACATGATACATCATTATCATCAATGCTCTCGTTGTGATACACACAAATAGTGATTGCATGAATATTTGGGATAAATAGGAAGAGGAGGAATCTCAGCCACATTATGTAAACTGACCACCTGCAGATAAAAGGGACTAATTGATGGTAGATATACCATGGATCAGTAGATCAATATGCACTAAGTATCAGTAGATCTATGTCTATAATAATTCTAAATTTATGGCTCATAAAATTATCATTAGCCTGATCTAAACAGTATTAAAGTGCTCCCGAGGTCTACAATAATTATATAAACTTCTAGTCTAGGCTCTATAGATCTAGCTTTATGAAATTATGTATAAATGATATTAAAATTTATATCACTAAAGCATACCTTTTAGCTTTTAAGACCCTGGTATCACTATGCACCAACAAATTAGTCAAGACTCCCACACTAAGCGGGACCTAGCGGGTCACTGACTCTGTGACTCA